CTTTTTTAATGTTCAACGTAAATTTGACATATAGTAAATTGATAATTCATCAAATGATTACATATACGTGTCTAAGCTAATTTATATTTTTAAATTTTGTTAAAAATTATTAAAATTTTGAAGTATACATAAAAACTGTTATTCCATCAAAAGAGTTAACAATTATTGTAGTAAACACGGTAACTAATTGTTAAATATATTTTGAACCACAGTAACATATCAATATTTAAAAGAGAAAAAATAATTTTATCTGTCGAATATTACAATTACAAAATTACTACAAGACTGATGAAAGTAGTTATATCAAATCATTTTTAATAATTTAAAAACATACTTTTAAAAATAGCATCAATAATTTTTCTTAAAAGAATATTACTAATTATTTTTCTTTAAAATTATTCATATGCGTGATCACAAAAAAATTAATAAGATTAACTCGCAACAACAAAAAGATAAACACGTTTAAAGTATCACATATTATTTGGTGTAAATTTTTTCACCAAACACATAATAGTTTTTGACAAATGGTAATATTTAGTAGATGATAATAATTTCCGCTTTAAAAATTCGCAAGCTGGAATACAAAAACTAACAAATGAAATGATGGTATTATATATAAGAAATAATAACTAGATACCTTTTATTAATAAAATACACTTTTTTAATATATAATTATAATGGTAATTTATAACTGGTTATTATTATTTACTTTTAAAATTATATAATTTAAATGTCTTTTATGAAATGAAGAATCTATAAATTCAAGTAGTTATCCTATCTACAACCATCAATTCATTTTCTAGTTTCTTCACAAAATTTTCATAATGGTGAGAAAGAACAGTGGTCGTAGAAAAATTGAAATGGTGAAAATGAAGAATGAGTCAAATCTTCAAGTTACTTTCTCTAAAAGAAGATCTAGTCTTTTCAAAAAGGCCAGCGAATTATGCACACTATGTGGTATAGATATTGCGTTGATCGTGTTTTCACCAGGTGGGAAAGTTTTTTCCTTCGGTCACCCAAATCTCGATCTTTTACTTGATCGTTTCTCAGGACATGTTGAAGACGCTCCTCCAAGAGACACCAACAACTCTGGATTGTTGGAAAGCAACACTGATTTATTATGTCTCCAAAATCTTAACGAGACGCTTATGAAGGTGATTTACCAATTATCATGTTTTCTTTAATATGTTTAAATTGTTTTCCGTTATTTTTCAAAATTAAGAGTTACGCGCCAAAAGAAATCTATAAACCTTCGCGCCAAAATAAAATATGTGTTTTACAATTTTGTTTTTACGTTTAATTCTTTTTTTCCGGGTTTGTACACAAAATTATCTTTTTATTTAACACGTAGATAATAAAATTACGGAAAGAATTTTAATAAGTTATTCACTATAAAATTTTAGTTTTTTAATTTATTCACAAAATCAAACTAACATTGTGCTCATCAGTGGTATGAAAGTAGATCTGAAATATAAAATTGGTGGGTTCATTTTGTATTCAAGACATATTAATCTGTGGATTCTTTCATCATCGTAGGTGTTGGCT